AACTAGTACTAACTAACTAAAGTAAATAACTTTTACCTTACCCTCCCTACTATATATATATATATATATATATATATAATTTCTTTCCCATTTCTCTTATTTTTTGGGGTTTTTTAGTTTTTGCTTCTTTTAAGGCATTTTCATGCTTGTATGGTAAGTCCACTTGGACTAACCCCAGTTACTTGGCTCTGGCAGGGGCCAATTCCCTGAATAGAGTATTTCAACACCGATCCAAGTCTGAGCAGAACATCCCCAGATAGTCTATTTTTTCATTGCATGTTTATCTCAATAAAATTCTTGCTGGTTAACACCTCCTAAACAGAAGCCTTCAATTCCTTAAGTTCTTTGGAAATGTGTAGAAGATGGTTCCTTCTCAACTGCATTTTCATCTAGAAAGCAAATTTGTGTTGACTTTGTTAAGAATGTCCTAACAAAAGCATGTGGAAGAATGAACATTGGCTCGCTGGAACTATGGAAGATATGTAATATGGTCACGTAGTTTCACTGGAATTTTAGGATAAAACATAAACAATATGAGGTCCTAGAGCAGATCGCAAAAAAAAAGGTCATCAGATGAGTCATAAATCTATCCCTTATGGAAGGTATTGAATGTTCAGATATGGTCAGCATATGCATGGACATGAGCTACTAAGTATAGACTGGAAACCTTAATTTCAAGAGATGACCAAAAGGAATCCGAATGACAAACACAGATGCAAAAGGGAGATCGCTAGATGCCTTTTAGCATTCCAATGCATGGCTGGCTGGCATGGTGTGAAGCCCAAACACCTCTACATAGGCTGAAGAATGCTCCAGAATTATAAGCCATGAGCATCAAAGGAATTTCATGAAAGTCATAAAATAACTTCTTCAGAAGGATGGTTGAGGCTACCCCTTTGCAAGATGCTCATATTTTTACGAAAATTTGTCAATATGTATATCCACCAAAAACAGGAGAAAAAATACTGGATTCAAATTTTCAAATAGGGCCCATGCAAGCAGGGAACCAAACATGGTGGCAAGTGCTTAAGTGGACATGGGATCAAGTACAAGACAATTTCGAGTGTGGAATTTCAAGTTGCCACTATCTTAGGGTTCCTTCATATTCCTTGTAATCTGATTGTTTTCTTTAATGGAAACAAATAAGGTGCAATCATGGAGGGATAAGTTGCACTGTAACTATTAAGAACTACAAATTAATGGAGAAACCACCCTTCAGTATCACCTAGCAAAGAAGTGCAATGATGTCAAAGGATGCCATTTAGTCACTCAGCCTATTATGAGAGTTTTTTATACACAACCAGATGCCCAAAAGAAAGAAAGCCGAGGAAGGCTGGGATCATGCAGAGGAAAAGGTAACAGGGGACCATGGATTTTTTTTTTTTGGGGGAGTGGGGGGTGTGTGATAGGGAACGGAAACAACAGTTTGATGGGGATCTTGTTGTTGCTAGAAGGGCCAGTATAAAGGCAGCCATGAGAGAGATGGACTATCATAGGCCCAGGGAACATTTATATATGTTGGTGAAGGGAGGATATGGTGGTAGTAGCGGGTATCTCTCCCTATGGCACCACAGCATTTCTCAGATTGCGCAGTATAGCAATCTCACAAATTGAGCAGGGGGCAGGTCGGTTGGAAATTTTGCTTCTTCTAGAGCTGGGGTTAAAGAAAGAGAAACGGGTACACTCCATCCTCACAAGAGGGCTCCAATTATAGAGTATGTCAGGCAAAGATATAATAAGGAAACTGCGTAAAGAAAATGCCTACATTTTTGTGGAATCATTCAATGCAAGCTAACAGGTTATACTATTACTTGTTGTTTGATATTTCAGTATCTATATTAGACCTCTAATAATAGAAAATCTTGAAGGTCTTGAGTTTCTGCTGAAGTAGTAAAATACAGCACCGGACTAGGCATCCTAACTAGAAGAGTTAAAAAAACAATGGAAGAGAGGACTTTGCTCGACTTTGTGGTCCGTTGTCCTTCTGAGATTAAGTTCCCCAACTGTATCAACACCTCAATGTATAAAGAAATATCCATTTCTTGTTTCAAATTATGTGTAGCATAGTTGAAGAGGTAGGAGAAACAACACCCACATATCCACATGGCACGTAGGTCTATTTTTGTTTATTTCATTGTGTCATGTTCTTTTGTTCTTATTAAATCTGTCAATCTCAAATATGAGATTATTAAATTTGATTCATTTGGCAAGTTCCTTCCTAAATCAACCTTTCACTTTGAAAAGACATCTTCAAAATACAATTATACAAAAGTATTAATATCTAAAAGGGTTCAATAATTTAATTGAACTACTAGAAGAGACTTAGGATGAGAAGACTGCAGCAAATAGGAGTAAAACCTAATTAGGTAAAGTTTTATTTGAATATTTATATAGGCTGATTAAGATGTTTTGAACTTGCATTTATCGTATTTGATGGTTGACCTATTTATCCCACAACCTTCCCATCTAAGGATACATCCATGAATTATAGTGGGTGGGAATCTACTTGAGGAAGAAAATTGAATCTAAATTTTAAATTTCACAAAACAAAGTCATCAGATATTCTGAATTTCATGTAGAGTTAAGTCTGAAATTCTCTACTGCAAGTTGAACGTGAAACTCTAGCATGCTTTTGCTAATTGAGATAAAAAGAAACCATCCATTAAGGATAAAATTGGAGAAGCTAGTGTTTGTCCACTACAACATCAGGATGCAGTTGCAATGTCCCACAAAATGGGCATAGGAGAACAACCCCTGCCTGATGAACACGGCAACCTCTGGGATTCACAGCTTGGGGGTCACATTGGTCCTAGGAGTAGGAGTAAGTCTTGAGTAACAACCAAAACGGAAAACCAATGTGAAATCCAAAGCATAAAACCAAGTAATTATGGACAATGACAGTGATAGCAGAATGGAGAGGAGGGTGCGGCTATTGCAAAATAAGGTCTTCTGGCAACAGTATAGAAGCAATAAAGTTATAGGGAGGCTACTTGGTGACGTTTATCACGGCAACAAAAAGGGGTAAATAATGAGGTACAAGAGAGCCATAAGACACATGGCTACAAGTCCATACATGCTATGTAAGTCAGCACCCTATTTTGGGATATGGACTATCTAGGTCAGTCTCTGCAACTTTGAAGGCCTTAACACCGGACACTACAAAAAGATGTAGTCTACATGTTAGGGTCGGAACCTTGCATGTTCATCATCATGCATTGATAGTGATTCATGTTTGAGGGGAGAGGGGACAAGGAAGGAATGAGAGGGAAGGACAAGGGTTAAAAAATGAATATCGTAATTTTGTTATGATATAGAAGGGTACATATTGGTGGTGTGGACATCCATAGTAGTACTCGTAGTAACATTCAGAGATTAGTACAATGTATTATATGGACACTGACATGAGTGTGTGATCTAAAGTGTCTACTACTCTAGTGTAAAATGCTAATACCCCATTTAGAAATTATTTTGGATAAGATAATAGACTTTTTTTTACATATATAATATAAATCTTCTTCTCTAACATATAAGATAAAGCAGTTGACTGGTAGTGTTTTGGTTAGGGCTCCCATGCAAGATGTCCTTAGATCGAGCTGCAGCGCCCCCACATGTCGACATGTCTTAAAATTTTCAAAAGGTGTCAACATGTGACATCAGGCTGCTCACAGAGTATTGGCATAACACTGGTTCTGCTATGTTAATTTAGTTTAGAACTAGTGTGAGAAAACTATGGATAGATGAACCAACGCATTTGGAATTCTTTAGTTTTGAGTCATTTGAAGGTGTTGATGCCTTAAATTTCACAGTCACTTGATTTGTTAATACACTCAAACTTATATTTTACTCCTATAATCTTCAATCACTTTATGATATCTGGGCACTGAGAAGAGGCAAAAAATTCAAATAAAGTAAATTATAATTAAAATTTTGTATTCAAGTAAGTTTAGAAAATAAAGAAAAAATATGCCCGGAATTTTCATGATATGACCAAATGCTCCTTTAACAGATGAAATATTCCAAAGAGTTACAAAACTAAAATTTTTTTTTTTTTTTGAGAAGTGTTAACGTTTATATATTTAAGAGAAAAATATTACAAGAGATCGATAAGAAGAAGGCATCCAACAAGCTGGGTGCTCAGAATATACATGTGGGGGTTGAGCTTAAAGACGGATAAAGAAAAACAAATGAGAGGGCGAGAGAAACATAGAACACCCATAAGGCTGGGTGAGTAAAAGCTGAGAAGATAAAAGTCTCTGTCAATAGGCCTCCAGAGGAGGAAACTAGAGTAAAGGGGCTCCTGAGAAGGATAGAACTTTAAAGAACATTAACCTCCGGAAAAGGAAAATGGTTTGGGTGAAAGGCCTTCTGAGAGTGCTTGAAAAACCTTTCTGGAGGTTGGTGGAGCCCTGGCGAGGGCAGCAATAAAACTCGACGTTACAAAACCAAAATTTACTTCTCCAGTTTCAAAATTTTACGGAATTTTATAATAAAAGAAAATTAAAAGCCTAGTGGAATCATGATTCCAGTTATTTTTGTCTCAGACCGAGTTCAACTTACAATACTCTCGTTGGCACCAAGTAAAACTCGAAACCTAAGTTTCCAAACCAATAAATAAACCTCAAAAAACTAAACAAGCAAATTTTCACATGAAGGAGAAACCAACCCTGCTTGGTTTTGAATTCATGCAATAATATAACTTTCAGCAATGGAAAGTACAACATAAGTAGGCCGTAAGTTACAGCAAAATTTTTTACTCGAGCAACTCCATTACTTTCAAATTACAAAATATAAAATAAAATAAATAACAAGACATAAGAGGCTGTTCAGAATTTGAAATCTGTACCAGAAACTTAAATTTAAATCCTAAATAAATAAAAAATGGGTAAATCTCAGTACTCTATCCTTATTTGATTTGAAAAATGCTGAAAATACAACATGCTTCATTCTTGAGGACAAGAGAAACCAATGTAAATCATCCATAAACGGTCGTATAATATTAATTATAATCAACAAATTACAACAACTAATGCATAGATACAGTTTCTAAAATTCTCAAAAACAAATCAATATGTTGCCCTGCTAATCGAAAACACAAGAAACAAAAATAACAAAATTACATAACCACGCAAAAAAATAATCAATCAAGGAAAGCACAAACAACACACATTTTCCAGCGATTTTCAAAACCTAATCAGAAAAGACCCCCAAAACACGAAAAAAAAACCACAAGCTTAAAACAACAAACCTCATCCTCAGCATTGCTATGATGTTTATACACAGTTCTAAGAAAATTGTATCTCTCTCTCAACATTTGTATATCTCCATGGCCATCCGTTGCAAAAGCAAGAGCCGACTTGTGTAACCTGTCGAGCTCACAGCGAATACCTTTGTGAAAGAAGAGGAAGATAAGAATGGCGGATTTAGGTTGAGAAATTAACGAAATCTTTGCATTTTCCACCGTGTTCAAGGGACCGGCCATTGGAGCCAGGACCCTCTCGTTGTGTTGCAAACCAGTGAGAGGAGTCGCCATTTCTCCAAATAATAACGGAAGGATTTTAGAGAGAGAAAGCTGACGATTGCTAGGGTTTCAAAAATTCACAGATCAGTTTCGATCGATCGTTTCTTCCTGTTTTTTAATTCTCTCTCTCTTCGGTCGCTCTCTGTTCTCTTTCTACATTTGCAGGGGCAAACGAAGAAAAATGAAGACCCAAGTTTTTAAGGCCGCTAATTGGGCCATCGATTTATATGAGGGGAAGATAACGTGAGGGCCCTGAGTATTCTCGAAATGTCCAAAACACCCCTATACTATCTGAAATACCTAAACTTCACTTTAATTAATAACCATTTGCAACCCTAATTAATACGTAATGTTTAGGTAGATCCCTAATTAATAGGTAATATTTAGTTGAACGCATATATTGTTGCGAAACGAAAATTTGAATTTTTTAGCCGTCAAAATTAGACACGGTTTTTGTCGAGTCCTGGATCATATGTAGATATGCGTCCCGACCCATTTTGAGATAGATTTTAGATTTAAATTTTTTAGGTATATATAATCTTTAATATCGAGGACATGAATGTATTAAAGAGTAAATTTAAAAATTTAAAAATAATAATTTATTGAAAAACTTTAAAAAAAAAAACATTTGTTTTACCCTTTTTTTTATTTTATTTTTTTTGATAGAACACAACTTCACAAATGAATATTTCGAGGGATGGATACGTAGTTATGCGTCCCCAATGTATAAAACCCTTCACCGTCTATTAGATAAGGAAAAAGTTTATATTGAGCCGAGGCTAAAAACAATCAAATTAGATCCTATCTCAAAAAATTCATTAAAAGAGGTTGTTTTGATGTTCAAATATCTTCAAATTGATCATCTCAACAAATCTACATGGACATGAGAAAAAAATGGATTTCAAGTTTGAAAATAGTGCATCTTGTAACGCATTTTTTGGACCATCAATTTTCAAGATTTTTAAGTTTTCATAGATCTGCTCTATCTACACTATTTTTGAAGCTTTAAATTTTAGAATTAAATATCAAAATATATGTTAAGACTATCACAAAGATTTCTAGTATTGAAATCACATTTCTCGACACTATTTGAAGGTGCGTATTACTTTGATTGTTTAGAACCTCGGGTCTATACAAACGGCACCTTAGATAATTCTTTAAATTGTTTATCGTAATTCTTTAAATATCAATATTTTTAGAGTTCTAACTTCATAAATGTGAGGCAGGCGTACGGATAATTTGGGACTTTTTTTTGGATCCTAAGCCCTTAAAACCACGGTGGATTTATCTGTCAGCAAACTCACCAAAAATATTTTCTAATTAATCCAATTTTCAATCTGCATTTCAAGGTAATTAAGCCTTGCAGGATGTTATTTAGCCAATGTTAAAGACAGGTTATTGAGTGCCACCGTTCAAATATGGGTGTGGTTTGTGTAAGGTTGACGCTCTAAAGGATCAAAGTAAGGCATTCCTCTAAATGGTTTCAAAAGTAGGCCGAGAATTTACTCGATTTGGAAAGTGTGTCACTATTCTAAATGGTATCAAAAGCATTCCTCGCTTGAATTTTGGATCCTCTCCAATTCGAATATGGATCCAAGATTTGGATCTGACGGATAGGATCTAGATTCAAAGATTGTTTGAATCTGAATAGTAATTTAGATCTAATCCGGGTACAGGTGGATCTGATCTGGATCTGACCAAGTTATTAATATGTATTATGTTATATACATACATATATG